ACTTTATTGCTGGGATGTGTGGCTTTAAACGCCGTCACAACGACGATGGTTTTGCCCAGAACGCAGGAGATGCAGAGCGCGAATGTCACACCGAAAGCGGTGTGGCGCAGCATGCAGGTCCAGACTGTGGGTCTGCCGATGAAGGTGAGAGGGCAGAGGAAGCACAGGAAGAGGGAAAACAGCAAGAAGCAGCTCAGCTCTGAGTTGCTGGCTTTTATCACAGGAGTTTCTCTGTAATGGATAAAAACGACCATCGTGAGCAGAGACAGGGAGGCGCCCAGCAAGGCCACGGCTGTGAGCGCCACGCCCATGGGCTCGTGATACGCCAGAAACTCGATTTCTCTTGGAATGCACTCGTTTCGTTTGTCATTGGACCAGTAGTCCTGTGGACAGGCTGTGCACTCTGTTGCACCTGTTAATGAAAAATAAATAAATAAATGAAAAGATTTGGTCACATTTTAAAGGCTTTTAAAATAAGTCAATATCATAGTGTTAATTATTTTTCAGAAAGGAAATATATTACAGATAGCACAAAACACACGATACTGAGCTGCATCAATTGGCTTTAGCAGAAGATATAAACTCTCAAATCATGTCTGTCTACCTGTTGAGTTGGCGATTGATCCCTCTGCACATGGAACGCAGTCAAAACAACAGACTGGTTTCCCCTTGATCTGAGCCTTCCTGGTTCCTGCTGGACAAGCATTTGAGCACACCGACGCTGGAACCTGAAAAATATCATCGCATGGATTTTATTTATTTTTTTTTATGATATACGACAGTGAAAAGTATTCATATATTACCATCTGTCCTGTCCTCCACACTATTCTGTCTTCCTGTATGCTCAGTGTGAACTCTCCGTTCTTAGTGGATGTAAAGTGACCCAGGGTCACATGCTGAACCTGCCCGTTTCTGAGCTGCCAGTTAATGACGTCGTAGGAAGCAGGAGGGTTGCCGTTCTCGTCAAAAAACACATCGTCTCCAAAGCGATTCCTGAAGTTTACTCTTTGCAGGTGATAGGTAACCTTAGAAGAAGAAAGCGTGTCATGTTAAAACTTAAAATTATTTGCTAAAAACAAGGAGCACTGTTCAACTTTTCTTTTTTTTTCATCATTGCTCACCTCTCTGGGATGAATTTCAGATACATTCAAACAAGGCTTCACATTTTTTCCTCCTGCTGCTGGTCGGCAGAACACCAGCTGGTGAAGAGCATGTGCAATAGTATAAACAGCTTTGTACACGTTATAGGCCACTCTGAGCTGGGAGACATTGAAGAACACATCCTGGGTGTAATCCATCAATGTCTCGTTGCCTAAGCATATTTTAGCTGCACCAGTGTCCGATGCATTTGAAGACGGCTTACAGCCAACCATTATCTCCCAAAAGTCCTTCACAAAAGGCTCACTTGGATTTCTGTAAGGGTTAATATTCATAAGAAATGGATTTAGGTTTGGGATGTCCATCTTCTGAACAACAAATCCCAAGGCTCCGCCGAAAGCTCGGTACATTTCAGGCGTGGAGGGCCTTGCCGCTGTTATCCACGCTTCACTGGCGATCCACTGAATCCCTGTGATGTTCTGCTTCACTATCTCCTTCATCAGAGGGTAAAAGTCGCCCTCAGGCGTAAAAGCCAGGATGACTTTGACGGTTGACTGTTTGATCATTTCTACAACTTTCAGGATCTTTTCCTGAGGGTACGTTCGAAGAACCGTACCGATGAAAGCGATGCAGATCTTTAGTTTCTTAACCTCCTCTGCAAACGCCAGGACCCCGTTTCGTCCGTAGTCGTTGTCTGACTGTATGGCTCCGATCCACTCCCAGCCAAAATGCTTGACCAGAGCTGCCAAGGCTTTTGCCTGGAAGTAGTCGCTGGGGATTGTTCGAAAGAAAGTCGGGTATTTAACTCTGTTACTGAGGCAGGCGCACGTTGAGAAGTAACTCACCTAGGAAAAAGACCCAAAATATTAGTATTAGTGCAGTATCAGAAAGTCAGTGTGATTTCCACCGACAGAGGACAGATTCAGAAACAGTTTTATCTCTTACGACTGCAACTTGAAAAGGTCCAAGAATTCCAGCGACCGCCAGGGACTGAGAAGATCCTGCCTCTGCGATTACCGTGGATATAGGTGGAGAACAGCCAGAAGCTGTTTCTTTTTCATTTTGACTACTTGCCAGCGTTAGTGCAGCTCGTAAAGTGTTTGTAGGAGACGAACAGGAATTGAGAATCTTGTAACCCAGAGAGATGTTAGGCAGGAGAGCAGGATCTGTGTTGACCTCTTCTATTGCAAATATCATCATTTGGGCCCATCGAAAAGCCCGAAGGTCAAACCTGCAAAGACATTTGGCCATTTTTTTTTTACACGCTACAAAAAGAATGTGATGCTACTGCAAAGAAGACAGTCAGTCTCATAATTTAAGACCGAAGAAACAGAAATAGTCAAACTTACAGGGCACACGTCACTGCAGGAGGTTCCCCATCAAATGTAGCAACGCTGCTGACATCCTTGTTGAAAACAGGGAAAATTCCCCCTATCATTATGTCACCTTCCTTAAACAAACTTGGCATGTCAAAATTACCCAAGAGCTCACAGCCAAAACCTGTGTTCATGCAGAGAACACACAGATACACAAGAGCCCTTTTTCGCATGTTTGTGCTGCATTGTCAGGCTTGGATCGACACACGGTTCTTAAGATCTGATGGATGGAGGGAAATGTGTCGTCATCGAGGGTTAATTTGTTTCCCACAAGGCAAAGGCAGTTACAGATTGGTGGATAGCAGACCAGGGAGGTGATTTCTGAACCGATGCCACATGTTTGTGGTAACAGAAAATGTGTAAAACACATTAACCTGATGCTGATTTAAATATTGGCTAAAGTTATGCAGTGGCAATAAGCAATGCATGGGTTATTTTAAGGAACACGACTCCTAACACAACTTTTGTAAACAAGAATACTTCCTCATATGAGAACCTTAGTCGGAAGATCATTCCTGAAATCAAGCTTTCCTGACAGGAACGTCCATCATGTTTGATTAAACAAAGTCATAGATCTGTAATTTAAACAAGAATCATAATCTGCTAATAATCAAGCACTTTAAGAAAACGAAAAACAGGAACTCAGACTTTCGTTCAATATCATTCACGTTATAAAAACTCACTCTATAAAACAAAATATGTCCCAGTCGATCTGTTATGCTATTTTTTAAATTCGTTCAATGCACTGTTCACACATCGCAATATGCAGTCAGAGAAAGTTGAACATATTGTCCTGAATATATTGTAAATTTCCTATTAACCTATATGTTGTTGAGTTTGATATCTCATAATCACTTAAGAAATTGGATATATTTTCATATTTTTCACCAACTGAGGTCAGCATTTTTTTCAAATGTGCAACGCATGCCGGGCCGATAATGCAAGTTGGTTCAAATGGACGGTAATGCTTTATTTGACAGGGTGTGCATAAGACTGACATGACACTGTCATGAGCATGAAGAGGTCTTCATGAATGTCTATGTTGCCATGGAGTGTCATTCGGTAAATGACACTTTTAATGCAAAGTTCCTTTAAAAGTTGCATTAAAGGTCTATTGAAAATGCCTACTTTGCATTAAAAGTGTCACTTCATGACTACAGTCATTCATAAAGACTCCTTCATGTTCATGACAGATGTTATGACATGTTTATGACAGTCTCATGTCAGTCTTATACACACCCGGTCAAATAAAGCGTTACTTAATGAACTTGAGCCTTTAAACAAAAGGACATCACGTTTGTGGAGGCTGATGATTGATGCCCACAAAACGCCTGGATTAAGGCAAACAGCTTCAAAGTCCTTCTGTACAATTAAACAAGATATCGGTTGAAACGAACATGATCAGCTTGTGCTCCACTGTTTTTTACATTAGCTAGAGCTAACAACATTAGCAGGCGCTAATACAGAATCAAAACAAATCGGAAGATAATAGATGGATACTTCAATACTGTGGTTATCATGCATTATTTAAACTTCAGAATCTAAGGTTATAATTGTGTAAGCATCAATCACTTTTATCTGTTCATCCATTTTCGTCACTTAGTGCTGAAGTTGAAATATTTAATTTGAATGTCATTAATGCTATTTGAAAACCAAACCAATAAAATCTGTGAAAGTTTTTTATTGAAACACCAACAGCTGGAAACACAAAGGACAAGACAATGCTTGTTATTTAAGCAAATACTAAATACATATAAAATAATCTACTCTGGGCAGTTGTACTTAAATAAGTGTATGTAACATTTGTGAATAACTACAGCATCAAGACACTTTATTTTAGAAAAATCTATGACTATTACAACTTAAAGTTTTTACATCTTGCCCATTATTCGCTTTTTTGAGTTTTGCTCTGGCCTCAGTAGAATAATATAGCATTTTGGAGCAAAAATACAAAGCAGCAAGCCAAAACTGGAGGCCAGAATAGCAAATATCTCCACAGCCACAGTAAACTTTCCAGGAGAGCTGACATAAGCTGGGATGAAGGTGATCCAGACGGCACAGAATATCAGCATGCTAAATGTGATTAGCTTGGCTTCATTGAAGCTGTCTGGTAGTTTTCTAGCAAGGAAAGCAAGAACAAAGCATAAGGTAGCAAGGACTCCAATATAAGCCAGCACCACCCAGAATCCAATCGCTGAACCCAGGGCACACTCTAAAATTATTCGGTCTCTATAGTACTTCATGTTCCTCTTTGGGAAAGGGGGGTTAATTGTTAGCCAAATTATACAAATGACAACCTGAACAAGAGTCAAAATGAGAACACTGAGTCTTTGCTGTGCGGGTCCAAACCACTTTGTCATATTGCTCCCTGGACGTCTCGCTCTGAAGGCCATCAGAACCACTATTGTTTTCCCCAGAACACACGAAATGCAGAGAACGAACGTGATGCTGAATGTGGTGTGTCGAAGCATGCAAGACCACTGAGTGGGCCGACCAACGAAGGTCAGTGAGCAGAGGAAACACAGTTTGAGTGAAAACAGAAGCAGGAAGCTCAGCTCAGAGTTGTTGGCTCTTACAATGGGAGTCTCTTTATGAGTAAAAAATATTGTTGTTATGAGAAGGGATAAAAATACACCGAAGGTGCCAAAACCAGTGAGAAGTGCTCCCGTGGTCTCCGTGTAGGAGAGGTATTCGGTGGGTTTTGGAACGCAGTCGTCTCTCATCTCGTTTGGCCAGACTTCAGGTGGACAGGGTGAGCAGTCGAGAGAATCTGCAAGAAATAATACATCCTAAAGTCAATGTCAAGAAATAGTTTTACAGATTTGTTGTTTTCCTTTTTCTTTTTTAAAGAAAAAGGCTGCTTGTTAAAATTCCCACTCACTTGTCTTATTACTAATTGTTCCTTCAGAACATTGAAAACAATCAAAGCAGCACACAGGCTTGTTCTTGTTTACTGCCTTTCGAGTCCCTGGTGGACACGGCTCTCTGCAGACAGACCTTACCACCTGATTACATCAAAACAGGACGCAAGAAACTTAATAGCGAATTAAAAATGTTCAAATTATCCAATAATGTGACAAAGTTTTGCATAGTTACCGCATTATTAGAGCCGCCCCAAACTATTTTCGCATCGTCTTTTAGTTTCAGTTTCTTTCCCTCCGGTAAGGAATCATCAAACTGGCCAATGATGACTATGTCTGCTGAACCGTCCTCCTTCATCTGCCAGTTCACAAGGTCGTACTTGGCAATAGAGTCACCATTTTCATCAAAGAAAACTCTGGCCCCATTCTTAGTGGTGAAGTTTATATGCTTCATGGCATCAAACACCTTCGGAGAGACAATTTTACAAATTACACAAGCACTCCCTTCCAAAACCATGTAATAAGTTAGGATCTTCATCATTATATGCCCTTGAAACTTACTAACTTAGGCTGGACTTCATCCTTGGTCAGACACGGGTTTCCCGTTGCAGGGTTTACGCTGTTTTTGCACTGCAAGAGCACATGCAGAGCAAATGCTACAGAATACACAGCTGTGTAAACATTATTTTCTTCTCTGAATTTTGCTACGTCTGTGTAGTCACTCGAGACGGTCCGCAGATCTTCTGCGCCGGTGCACAACGTGGAGGTTTTAGATGGGGTGAAGCTGCAGTCAAAGAACTCCTCCCAGATCGATTTAGTTAGAGAACTGTGCGGTTCATCAGACGGTTTCAGGGTAAGGAGGAATTCTCCGAGCCCTGGTATGGATGCCTGAGGAATGGCATAGCCTATTGCCCCATGCAAAATGTGCTTTCTCTCTGCAGAAGCAAGGTATGCAGCTGAGATCCAAGATTCACTGCCAACCCACTGCTTTCCAGTGATGTTATACTCCTCCATATGAGCAAGAAATGTTTTGGCGAAAGACAGCGACATAAACAACAACACCACCTTGGATGAGGACTCCTTCAGTGTCTCAGTTATTGTTCTTAACCTTGACTTGGAGGCTTCCAGGTAAACCATCGTGTATTCCACACATACACCTTCCTTCTGTGCTTCTTTAACAAATTCAGACGCACCTTCTTCCGCGTACGTACCAACAGAATGAATTATTCCCACCCATCGCCAGTCAAAGTATTTCATAAGTTGCACCAGAGCCGTGATCTGGAATTTGTCACTTGGTACGGTTCTGAAGAACGTCGGGTATCGAACTTTGTCACTTAAACAAGCGCACGTAGACAGGTGACTGATCTTGAAAGAAAAAAAAAAGAAAAAAAATTAATTAATCAAGTTTGCATTTCAATTGAAAATGTGATTCTTTTCACCTGTGGCACAGACACAGCACTGATAATGGTGTTTATGTCGTCACTCACACCAGAGGATGAATGACCTAAGACAGCCAACGTCTGACCGCCGCAGGCCAGCGGATCGTTCCCGTTTATGGCTTCAATAGCTGCTCGAATCAGGTTTTCGGTCCCACATCCGTTGTACACCTTGTAACCCAACCTTAATCCAGGGAGGAGGGAAGGATCCCTGTTGATCTCTTCCACAGTAAAAATCATTGTTCTGGCAAACTTCAGCTCTCTGTGATTGTATCTACAAACACGGGATGAGGAGCCACACATAAACATTGAGAATTTAACCACTGATCACAACGGCATAAAAACAGCAGTTCACATCATATGAAATTCTCCTTCTTTAGCATTGACTAACCCTGTGCAGTACGAATACGGAATTGCCTTGTAGTCGTTATCTACCAATGTTCTTGTACTTGTTATAGAGAAAACTCCCGCAATATTCAGATCTCCGTCTCTGGAAAACTCCATTAATTCTGTCTTTTCGATCACTTTGCATGTCTGGTTTTCTGGCTTTGTTCCTGCAAGCAGAGTTAGGAAGAGAATGATGATCAAACCCATGCTAACCCACCCTCCTCTCTGCTGAAGCACCACTGACCTGAGACCTAAAGTTGCTTATAGCTTGTCACCACAGTCAGAGAAAAGTCCCCTGGCGAAAAACACACATCAGGAATCCTCACAAGACCTTTTTGTTCTTGCATCACTGACACAAATCCCGACATCCACGTGTTTGACACTCTGCATCCTGATAGTTTGACAGACATAATTTTGTGTTCTTAGCAGATGTCCTTAGGGAAAAGAAATGCCTAACATGTTTACAACTGAAATGCTTAACATGGATTATATTCATGTGATTATATTTTAAATGGCATTAATGAAAAATGTCTAAAGCACTTCATATTTTTAATATACTTAGAGTCAGCACACAGCTCAGTTATTGCAGCTAGAAACTAGAGAACACGCCCGAAATCAGGGTTTCGTGATGGACTCTGACCTGACACTCCACATAAACCTTCAGAGCCACATAAAGACAGTTACAAAGTCAGTCTTCTGTCACTTGAAGAACATTTCCAGGATCAAAGGACTAGCAAGATCTAAAGAAACTCATCCATGTGTTTATCTTTAGTTGCATTAATTACTGCAAAAAATAAAAAAATCAATCCTCCAGATCCAGAACACTGCTGTTCACATTCTCACTAAAACCAGGAAGATGGAGCACATAACACCAGTTCTAAAGTCACTACAATTGTTCCCTGTAGCTCAGAGAATAGACTTTAAAATACTGCTGTTAGTTTATAAGTCACTGAACTGCTCAGCATCACAATATATTAAAGATCTGCTGCTGTTGGATTAACCTCCCAGACCCCTCAGGTCTTCTGGTTCTGATCTCTGCTTCCCCAGAACCAGAATCAAACAAGTAGAACCAGCGTTCAGCTTCTATGCACCACAAATCTGGAACAAACTCTTAGAAAACTGCATCTGAAACATTGAGTTCCTTTAAACCTAGACTAAACCCCACCGGTTTAAAGTTGCCATAATAGATGAAACATTAACCAACATTTTGATGTGTAACGATGACACTGAGCAAAATGTCATGTTTACTGCTTTTCTCTATTGTTGACTATGTGGTGTCTTCTATGGCTTTGTTTTTCTATTTCATTTTGTGACGTAAAGCACTTTGAACTGCCTTGTTGCTGAAATGTGCTATACAAATAAACTTGATGGATGTATTGATTGATTGGATGCAGTTGAAATAAAAAGCTTACATACAAGGAAATATAAAGACACACACCTTTTTTTTCTGTCTTCAAAGTTAAATTGGACTAGACTCCTTTTTACGTCAGTTATTAGAATTGCCAAAATTATTTCTATATGCTAAATGCCACAATGAGGATTCAAAAGGTGAATTCATTTTTTATTAATATGTCCAAAATCAGAAGTTTGCACACAGTATCATCATTATCTATTAAAACAATGGGGTCCAGATGACTATGTCATGACTACTGGAGGCACAGCTGTGAATGTATTTTAAGGCCAGTCATATCATTTGTGATACTGAAAATAGTTTTTGTGATACTGGAAAATAATCAAATTCTAATTTCCAGTTTAAAAGGTTTTTTTTACCTTTATGCGTCAATCCTGCTTTTCCACCATATAGCCCATGTTTAAGATTTGAGGGCCTTTTTAACAACGCTGATCTAAGCCAGTCCATTGCAGCTCTGATTGCATGTTTAATGTTACCCTAGATTGGCATCTATAGAAAACAAATTGAACCATGAAATTAAAACCATTTAAACTTTGACTTCAAACTTTTATTCTGTATCATAGAACAGAACAACAATTGTGTTGTGTCTGTCACATGCAGTCCAGATGAAATACATTGATTTCAGACATTCTCAATGTAACACAACACAGCTTTGAATCCTGATCAGACCCTGACCTCTAAGGATCCACAAACCCTTTTCCTTAAAAAAAAAACATCTGATTACCTTTGATTTTACCGTTACTGAGGAACAGCGTACTGAAGCGGTTGCTTCAAAATACATTATAAAGCTATGCCTCTATTTGACTTGATTTCTTCAAATTAACTTTGTAGGATATTTGTAAGCCATGATATGTTTTCAAAAAGACAAAGCTACATGTATGACATTTGTCCAAAATCACGTTGATGATTCCATTGAATATTTTGTGGACTTACAGGGTGGAACAATTACTTTCTGGAGTGTGTCTGTGATGTGAAATGAATGCAGGATTTCAGAAAATCCATTTCTGACAGTCAGACATGACTGTCAGAAATGTCTGACTGTCTGGGACCATCATACTTCCACCACTTCCACCACAAGGTCAGTTCATGACCTTAATAAAGGTCATGAACTGACCTTTATTAAGGTCAGTTCATGACCTTAATAAAGGTCAGTTGGATTACGCACCGGTAGGTTTATCTTTGGAATGGTCAAACTTAAACCTATTCTAAACCTATGTTCCTCATGTTCATTAAATTAGAATTTTAAAACAGCTTTTTGCTTTTGCTCAGAATACCCAAAATACCAACGTAAAAAGATGGTTGATGATCTAAAATATGAATGTATGAGAACACCAGTAAACAGGAGTGAAATACTTTTTCACAGCACTGTAAATGCTTGAAACATAAAATGACCAGAAATAGCAAAAAAAAGAGAAGAAAACAAAAACTATTTATTATTTCAATTTCAGTATTTATTGATTCAGTAGAAACAGTGAAAATTGGCTCAAGAATTAAATAAACCTGTATATTCTTACAAAAAGCACATACTTTCTTGGTGTCCTTACATGTTGTGGGTATGCCACAAGCTGGAGATGAAGAAGGATGTGTGAATAGTTCAGCTTAGTGAGGATGAACTGAAAACAAAAGGGAAGCAGAGAAAAAAAACAATACAAACAAGCCAGAAACTCAAACTGTGCTAAACCAGCCCCTGGTCTTAGTGGCGATTCAACTCTGCCCTCCATACTGACGTCTGGAGACCAGAGTATCAAGTTTTTATTTAGCAAAGTAACAATAAAAGTCATCAAAAAAATCAACACAGTGACAGGTACGGGCATCGACTTCAGGCATAAATTTAACAATCTGTTCAGGACCAAGTGCGCAGCCTTGCAAACAATTAAAACATTAATAGTTTTTGCTAGAACACAAACAAGGTGAAAAGCCGTCACGGACCAGTCAGAGGAATGACGAGTCGCTGTCGTGAACAGCATCCCCACCGCGGCGTTGCTGTTAGGAGCGGATGCAGCCGAGTTTGTTTTAAGTCTGTTTGTGTAGATTAGCATCAAAAGGCCTGTGGCCAGGAAAAATCTTCTAACTGAATGCACTCTCCATATTTTTGTGCAAACTTGAAAGTTGAACATTTCTGCAAAAGAGAAAAAGTTCCAAGATTGTTAGGCAGATGGAAGGAAAAGTAAAGCAGGCATATTATTAACAGGACCAGTTAAAGGAGAAATAAGATTACCTTCTTGGAGCATGCATGACATTGAAAAGATCTGGAACAGAAGTATAGGAATGTCACTCACACACACACGCACACCGCAAAAACACACAATCTTACCAAGTATTTTTGGTGTGTTTTCTAGTTCAAGTATTTTTGTACACTTGAAATAAGACAAGAATACAAGAAACTTTTTAGCAAGATATATGAGCTTCTGTTAAGTCAATAATACCTTAATATAGATAAAAAAAATATTACTGACAAATTATTTAACTTACAACTAAAAATTTTTCATCAATGTTATGGAAAAATAGCCTTTAAACAAGTTCTTATTTCTTTCTGAAAAGTTACTCCTAAGTTAGTTTAGTGTTACTTCAAGTGTACTAAAATATCTGCACTAGAAGCTAGACCAAAAAACTTAGTACGTTTTTGTGTCTTTGCAGTGTTTCTGCACTAGTATTACATTATTGATCATTTTAAAATAAACGTGTTTATTATGTCATCATATTTTTCCCCCCCCAATCATTGAACTACTTTCAGAAAATCTGGAAGGAGTAAAATTATCTCTCTGCGCATGGAGTCGTTATTGCAGACTAATATTTTTCATATACCTGCAATTCTTGTTGATGGAGAGATTTTTATAATGGATTTTTAAACAACCATGAGTACTGCTAACAGAAAGATGAAAAGGTTCATATACACACCTTACCACTGCAGACTCTGTGGAAAACTCTGTCTGACACATCAGAGGACACGCCGCACAATTTAAGGATTTGGCATTTCAGCGATCCGGTTTTAAAGTCTGTACACACAGAATCCTGTAGAATGTTGTTTTTGGTATTACACTCCTTGAAAATGCTAAAACTGTAAACAGTTCTCCGATGATGCAGATGGGCAAAGCTGGTGGTTCGGGTGCACTGAATGTCTGCTTTCACCTGATGAGATAAACAACAGACATTTCTGTCATTTAACTTCATCCTCTGACCTGATTCCTGTCTGAAAAGAGTTGCAAAAAAAAAAAAATTAAAATAAGAAACGCAAAGTGAGAAATCAATGTTTTTATACATTCATTTGATCAGGTGTTTGATTTCATGTCACGTGTCAAACCATGAGTTTATATTTTTCTAATCTTAGAATAATGTAGATGTTGCACTCACCTCCGTCGTATGTAAAAAACGGACAGTCTTGGAGAGAAAATGCACCTCAAACTGCAGAACCTCACATTTACACATTTCTCTCTTTTCCTCTGCATCATTCACATTGTGCTTAGCGTGTTGCAGCAGGTACAACCATGAATCATAGAGCATGCACAACAAGGACGCCACGCATCTCTCAAAAGCCAAAATCGCGTGAAAGGCCACAACCGTTTCAGAAGATCTAAAATCACAAACAACATTTTGTTATATAACCTCCTGCATTCTGCTTTTCAAATGAAAATCATGTACTGCAGCAGTTTCCCATCTTTCCATCATCATAAAATGTGATCGCACATCAAAAGCTTAATCACACAACAGGGATTTCTGTTCATAATTACAATAAATGTACTTAAATTCCATTCTCCTGCTTATCTTCTCAAGAGATTATCTAATTGTCTTCGGAGGGGCGTTCTAATGCAGTGTGAAGACTTTCTTCGTTTTAGCCGATTCCCTGCAGGGGATTTCAGTAAATTACTGCCAAATTGGACCTAAATATGTGGGGAAAATACACACCTGGGCATTCAGATTGCTAACATCGTTGTGCATGTCAACAGGTAAGCTGCAAGTGAAGAGAAAAGTCAGCAATTCCACCTGCAAGTTACTTACCCCTTAAAAGCCAAAGTTGGTTTTGCTTTGTTACTGACGTGGATGACAGAACATTTACATGATGTGCTTAAAGTCTCGTTTTCTGGGTAATGTTCATCCTGGCGAAATGCTGTCGACTGGTCCGGCCCAGACCAGCTGCCAGATGATATTATCCATGTGCAGAGAGTTAAGAAGCCCAACGTGAATGTTGTCATTGCAGAGGTTCGCCTGCAGCAAAAGTGTTGGATGCAAAGATGTCTTCTTAAAGCGTCTGTGGCGTAGGAGGCAACTTGTTGGACCACTCTCAGTGGAACATGCAAATTTTATTTTGCATTTAGTCGACCAAGGTGTAAAGATTATTATTATAATGTATGAGCATTAGACACAATTGCAAGACTTATGGGATTGTCCTATACAAATCATCTTAATTTTTATTAGAAGTACTGGTGTAGAAGTCACTTTTACTGGTGTTTGGATAAGTAACAAAATCTGCTTATACGCACTTTTTACACTTTCTACAAAACAAAGATTTTCCCCATTGTCTCTTCAGATAATGTTCAGCATGTATTTTGTTTCAGTAAAATAATAAAAGAGAGATTAATGTTAAGGTTTTCTAACAGAAACAAACTTGGGAAAATGAAAAATAATTTTACATTTTAAATTCTCAGGGGAATGCATAGTTTTAGGCTTAATTGTAACATGCTTTGATTTGACATCACTGTGTTTTTTGTTCTTTTCCGTATTTAATGATGAGAATGACAATTCTGGGATTAAAGTTGTATTCTTTTTTTTTCTATGAGTACACTCATGCGACTAAATAATAATTAGTTGAAGTCAGTCACTTCCAGCATGCAGCATGCAGAGGTGAGTGAATGCTCACTGCATGGTCAAGTAATGCTATCTTTTTAGTATTTTTGTGGCATTTGATTAATATTTACTTACCTTTTACTCCGATCATTTGACATCCCCTAACAACACAAGTTTTTTTCCACTTCGTTTTTTTCCACTTCTTTGTAAGTTGTGAACTTCTTTGCAAAAATAGACAACAACTTTTGTGTACTCCTCTTAATAGCATCTATGAACAGCAGTTTTCATGTTTTAAGAAAGATAATCAATTTCATTACGATCTGGATTTTAGCTGAGCTATTCCAACATATGAAAATCCTTTAATATTAACTAATGTATTTCTGGCAATAAATGTAAGATTTCTGTCGGGCTGAAAAGTGAATCTGTGCCCTTGTAGCAAGTCGTGCTGCTGCTAATGTGTTTTCTTCCAATACTGCTCTGTATTCATCCATCTTCATATCAATAATTCCCGATTTTCTTCCTGTCCCTGCTGAACAAGAGCATCACCAACAGATTATTTCTAGAACTGATAATAATAATACAACAGATAACAGATTTATAGAATCGTGGCAGCATGCTGGAGTAGCTCTATTTTTTATTTCTTTTTCTATGTTATTGAGTCATTGCATGTTTAGTTCTGTCTGGTTTTGGTTGCTGTGGAGCTGGAAGGATTTATTTTTTTTGGTCATGACAGTCATGATCTGTCATACAGCAACAGTCTTCAGTCAGAGGTCTCTTCAGCTTTGTTGTAAGATTGACTGCTACCTTAGATCCTTCATGGTCACAGCATCACCATATTACACCAACTGAAGATGCAGAACATGACTCATGAGTTAGAACATTTAATTTCTCTTTGGGATGAACATGCTGCTGTTTGGCTGGGGTAGAGTGTTGTTTTCCCTCCGGACGTAATGTTATCCAGCCACCATGTTGCCGTTTGATCACTAACGTTCTCTATCCACTGAGGCCTTCGTGGAACATTTGCTTTTATACAAACTAAGTTGCACACAGGTGGACTGTAATTACATTGTAATATTGATTGTGTGAATAAATATGAATGGTTTGTTACCTCTCATCTCCCCCCCTCCTGTATTTGTGTCTCTTTAGAATCTAAGAAATATGAGATTTGTTGTTCTTTTCTATTCCAATTCTGCAGTCGTCTCTTCAGAAACATTTTTTTTTCCTGTTGCTAAAGCAAATGAAGTTGATGTCTACTAGACCAATGGATCTTGTGAAGCATCCTTTAGATGCCTTGGTTTTTAAAAAAAAATGCTCTGTACTATATAGTAACATAATGGCCACTGCTGAGTGTTAGTGTGCATGTCTGTTTGTGAAACTATCTGCCCTGCGATGGACAGACAACATTTTCCATGGTGCACTGAACCTCGTCCATCCAACGATCAGTTCTTTCTGCCCTGAATGGTAAAACATTTGTACACAATGTGAACTTCAAAAGTTAGAAAACTTTGAACTACTACACCAAAAAAGTTATATTTAACAGTAGTCCAGCAAGTAAGACTTCATAGAAAAAAAAAGAAAACAACTAAGATAAAAAACAACAACTATATCAAAACATGTTAACGAAGAACCATTAATTAGTTATTGTGACAGAGTTGCTAATTAACAACCACCTTATTTTTATGCTTGAAGCAACATGCCACCTGTTGTTCAGCTTGTTGTGTACAAGAACAGAGCAATATATTGCAATGCATTAATCCCGGGTGTGCGCTGTTTGTGGCCCCGCTGCAGCTGGCCTGTCCTATTAGAGAAAACCCCTGGGTAATAAAGCCATGTGTCTGACAGATGGGAACTTATTTACTCTACACTGTTTTTCCTCTGTTTGTGTTCATGTTGGTGGGGAGAGGAAGGTATCTGCTTCCCAGGGCACAGGGGGGTGTAAGTAAGTTATTGTTTTTTTTGTTTTGTTGTTGTTTTTTGTGATATTGTTGCCTATTGTATTGTTCCAGTGCAAAAGTATTAACTACAAAATGGCCCAACTTTAAGGCCAAAAGCATTGTAGAGCCAGTAAAATATAATTTGCAATCATATTTTCATGAATTAATCTTTCAAATTAGGCAAGAACTGAATGGAACAAGTGATTTATTGTTCAAGTGAATGCCGTAACCTGAGTCTGAAATATTAAAATAACTAATATTCATTTAATTTCACATCACAGCACATCTGGCATCGTCAGTATAAAATTTGAGTTTCTTCCTCTTATCTTCAGTGTCAACAAGAAGTTTAAACAAAATGTAAATTTGTCAGACTTCGGCCAAAGCGAGGCAAAGTCCTGACTGAGGAAGTACGTAGGTGGGATAAAAGAGTGGAAATGAAAAGGCTCAAAAAAGGCCAATCACAGATGACATGTAGCAGAAACATGTTCTTGTCCATGTTTCCCTTTTTCCCCAGTTACAATAAAGACAATTTTGATTATTGCAGAATATTTTAGATTGTGAAAAGTACACATTTTAAAGTAAAAAATGCTTTCTCACTACAAGTCTGTGTTACTTTAAATTAATATATTAAAGTATTATGAAATGATATTATCCTACTCACTTGCCCATTTCTTTGGACCAGAGTACGGCATGTTTTTAATGACCTCACAGAGTTTTATGTTGTAATTTTGCCCTTACTAGAGTATATTATTCTTAATTCTGTTTTTACATAGTTCTTATCTTTTTACATGATTTTTATCTTTGTGTAAATCTACATTGCCTTCCAATTTGCGGCTATTGTACCTAAATTTCTCCACTGTGGGGAAGGATATGTATCTTTTTTTATTGATTTTCTTTTCTTTTAATAAAAGTACAACAGATATTTTTATTATATTTTCCAAGTGTTTCGTCCTTTTTTTACATGATTCTAATTTTAAAAAACAACCTCTGTGTTATTTGTTTCACAGCCATTTGATATAATTATTTCAACTTTTTTATAACTAGTATAAAAAAAACAAGCATTTCCATTAAACAGACACCAGTACAGTCACAGCTTTATGTTACAATTTTATTACCATGAGGACTCAACACATTTGTCAGTAAGAACCTGTTAATATTGGATTTTGACAGTCTTTCCCATAATGTGTTTCTTGGTATTCTGTTCAGGTCTGAACAATATTATCCAGCATTTTGGCAGAAAAATGCAAAACAGGACTCCATAAGCAGAGGCAAGAATGGCAAATATTTCCACAGCGTCGCTTAGCTTACCGGGAGAGCTGACATATGCTGGGATAAATGTAATCCAGACTGAGGTGAATATCAGCATGCTAAAGGTAATAAACTTAGCTTCATTAAAGTTATCAGGCAGCTTTCGAGCCAAAAACGCAAGCACAAAACATAAAACGGCCAAAAACCCTATGTACCCTAAGACAGCATAGAAGCCGATGGCTGAACCGAGATCGCACTGCAAAACGATTCTGTCCTCAAACAGCACAAAGTTCATGAAGGGAAACGGAGGACTTGTACTTAACCAAAGTAGGCATATCAAAACTTGTATGAGCGTGAAGGCTAACACGCTGAGTCTCTGCTGTGCTGCTCCAAACCATTTCATCACGTTGCTGCCTGGACGTGTAGCCCTGAAGGCTATCAAAACCACCATGGTTTTCCCGAGAACACAGGCAATGCAGAGGACAAAGGTCATGCCGAACGCTGTATGCCGCAGCATGCAGGACCACTCGGTGGGGCGGCCGATGAAGGTCAGAGAGCAGAGGAAGCAGAGAGTCAAGGAGACGAGCAGCAGGAAGCTCAGCTCTGAGTTGTTGGCTCGTACTATCGGAGTCTCTTTGTGGGTGAAGAAGATCAGCGTGGCGATCGTAGTCAGAAAGATTCCAAGAAGTGAACACATCGCCAACACCATCCCGAGGATTTCACTGTACGACAGAAACTCAACTGGCTTTGGGACGCAGGAGTCTCTCTGGTTATTTGACCAGAACTCTGGAGGGCATTTAAAACACTGCAATGATTCTGTGAAACAAAGGGTGGGGGAGGGAAACATCTAGTGAATGCTTGAATCAAAAGACTGAATCTGTACACTGTAAGATTACCGGTTAAATTTGTAATTTCGCCTGCTGGACAAGGTACGCAGTCATGGCAGCAGATTGGCTTTCCTTTCTGGAGGAGCTTATAAGTTCCAGGGAGACATTTCTTACTGCACTCTGATACAGGTGCCTTGACACAAAGATAATCGCAACATTATATTGTATTTCACAAAAAAGCGATCATGTCCTATGAAACTGTTTGAAACAACAACAAAAAACAACTCCTTACCTCTAACAAACCATTTGCCCAGACCACAGAGATGTTGTTCATGATGAACTGTTGGTCATCTGGGAAAGACGCATCATAAATGCCAACAGTTTCTCCTTC